TATTTATATTTATATTTATATTTATATTTATATTTATATTTATATTTATATTTATATTTATATTTATATTTAATGTAGCTTTTCAGTGGCTCAGTGAGCCCTGTTCATTTCTCTTCTCAGTGCTGGTTGGTTTCTGTGGCAGAAGCAGGGCAACTTGTGGCAGGATGTGTGAGGGGCCATCCAGGATTTCTGGCCCCATTCCTCCAGACCCTACGCTTTTCCCAGAGTATTACAAACGCCCCTTCTCAGGTGAGTCCTTGATGCTTGCTACAGATGTGTGGGTTTGTGCTTTGGCATGACAGCTTGCATGTTTGATGTCCTTATCCTCTGGTGTCCTCAACAGTCTCCATTTACACCAGTGCAGGTGCTTCTGCTGCCTCATGGATGGTGATCCTAAAGGGGATCTGTACAGCTGGTTGAAAAATGGGAAAGTAGAGGTGGAGAGGGTGTCTTCAGCATTGTTTGTGGGCTGTGAGTGAAAAAAACTGTGAGATGATCATTTCCTGAGAAGGGTCTCCTTTTTCTTTCTCTGTAGCTCAAGGGAGGCTGGAAGGAAATGCTCAGAAGCTGCATTTGACCTCTGGCCCCCTGGACCCAGTTCCCAACCCATACTCTGCTTTGGGCAGTGCCCGCCAGGCCCAGCCAAGCCCTCGCATTCGCCCCAGTGGGAAGGACTTCCTGGAGAAGGGGCGGAAGGGGACACTCGGCCTCTTGCTGCAGCTCGAGGGGATCTCCCTTGGCGGGGGATTGCCGGTCAAGAGTAAGTACAACCGAGTAACTGCTGGCCTGAGTTGCTTTTTGGGCCAGAGATGGAGCATCAGGGAATTGGGTGGATTCCTTGGATCTGCTGCGTTTGGCCTGGCAGTGGTGTCACCTGTGCTGGATAGGTGCTGTTATGGCTTCCATGGCTCCAGCCTGAACCAGGTCTAGAACTGGAAGAGGGACTTTAGTCAAACTAATATATATGGATCAGATGAAACCTTCATGTATAGAGGATGTTTAACATGGCAAGTTCCTTGTTGGTGAAGCCAGGCAGGATTTGGGAAGAGTGTCTGTGTAGGTGGATACTGAGAACGTCTTTGCGGAAGATGTTTCCCTCTCCAGGGATGTCACCCAGAGTACATTCAGAGGTCCAGGAAGGAGATAAGGCTGAGCCCTGGGTGTCATTTGGTTTGTTTCATGTGCTGGCATTGTCCCCAGCCTAGAGTCAGCATGGTGGATGCCAGCTGGTGACTGCCACAGCTGCTATGCCCATGCAGGAGGGAAGTGGACGAGGGTCTGGTTGTGTCAGCTGAGATCTTCCCTGTCTTGGGAAGACCAAGGAAGGATCATTTTTTATTCAAAACAAAAAAAACCCTCCACAATCCATAACCTCGGCGATGTCCACTTGAACGTGGGACAGTGGCTGACCCTGAAACCAGGAACAGTGCAAGTTTACAGTTCTGCAGCTGCCATTAGCCAGCCCTCTCTGCTTCATCACCATGGAATGCTGATTCCGTGGGATGGGAATTGGCCTTGCTCTTGGGAGGATCCTGGCACAGCTTGTCTGGCATAGTCCAAACTGGGAGAAGTGGGCCACTGAGAACAAGGGAGGCTGTGAACACCAGCAGTGTGCACAGACCCGTGCTGATGCTCATCTGAGCACTGTGGGATCCTCTGGCAGAAGAATCAGTCCAGGGGTGTGCACCTAGCGTGGGAGGGAGGCAGAGATGGTCTAGTCTGCAGGAGAGGGCAGAACTTGCTGGTATTGTGGGCTGTTGGACCACCTTTGGAGACAGAGCTGTGGGCTCTGGTGCCAGTGCTCCAAGAGCCTGCATCCCTTGGCAATGTCTGGGAGGTGAAGGTGTGTCTCCCCTTGCTGTGCAGAGAAAGAGCCCAAGGACTACGAGAAGGAAAATGTGAGGCGGATAAAGGAGATTCAGAAGAGGTGCAAAGAGAAGGAGCGAGCCCAAGAGCACAGCCAGCCCAAGCCTGTGAAAGCTCTGTGGAAATCCCAGAAATATGAAAACGTGGAGTCAAAGGTGAAGGCCAAACTGCAGGTTGGTACCTATGGAGCTCTTGAACTCTCCTGGCCTGGGATGTGGTTCAGCCATGAGGGACAGTGGGATGGTGGAGACTGAGGAGTCACAGAACCGACAGGGTGTGGGGGCATCTCGGTGCTGAAGCACAAGGGGCAGACGTGGCAGCACAGTGAGAGCGTGTGGTCTGGGTCCAGAGAGTGAGTGCTGCAATAATAATAATCCCCATCCTGTCTGGCCAAGCAGCTCCCCTGGCAGGGGAGGCAGAGAATAGGGAAATCTCATCACACCTGTGTGGTGAGTTCCAGGTGGTTCCCTCTCCCAGCTGCCTTCCCTGCCTGGGGGTGCTCCCAGTGACACAGGGAGCTTGTGCAGATGGTGGGTGCAAGCTGAGCCTGAGCTCCTGCACAAGCCTTTCCCCAGTACTCCCTTGCTGAGTTGGAGTCTTTAAGTTCCTCCTTATCTCTGCATTGCTTCCCTTTCATCTGTGGCCAACTTTTGACGCTAAAATGATGTGTATCAATAGCAACTGCAAAAGTTGGCAAGATCATTCCCAAACCAGTGGTCCCAAATGCTCTGTCCCTTCTTCCTGGTGTGCCACCAACCTCTCTGATGTCCGTGACCCTTCCACACACGGGAGCAAACCCACGTGTGCTTCAGGAACACGAGCCTACGCTGGTTTGACAATCTGAGGAAGATTGAGATCATTCCTTCCTTTGTTTTGGGGGGAGGGGGTGGTCTCTGCGCAGGCAGTTTCTGCGTGGTGCGTTACTTGAGCTCTTTGGATTCCTCCAGAGGGGTGACAGGCAGCCCTGGCGCTGACTCACTGAGCTTTAGCTGTTGCTGTGGCTCTCCTGGAGCTGAGGTGTTCCCTTTGAAGGATCTCCATCCTCTGTGAAGCTGCTGCTGCTCAGAGTTTAAGTTTATTCTGTTAGATCTTGAGGACTAATGCAGAGTTTCTTTTCTCTCATCTCTCCCTGAGGCTGTTGACTGTAGCAGCTGCCTTGGAAAGGGCTCTGGCAGCCCCAGTGCTCCCAGGGAGCGTGCTGTGCTCTGCTAGCATGCTCATAAAATCACAGCCTTACTCAACTTCGAGACAGCCCTGCTAAGGAAAGGCACTGGTTGCATTTATCACAAGGTCACTCCCTTGCAACAGTGTCAACTTTCAATTTTCAGGGTTTATTTGCAAAAAGATTGTCTCTGAGATAGTCCCAGACCACCTGCTAGACATCAAGTAGTGTCACCTTGTGCCAGTGTTAACCACGGCCTTTGAAGATGCCCCTCAGATGCAATTCCACCAGACTTTCACTCTCCACTCTTTTTTCTGCCTAGAGTGATATAACCACAGATTTGAGTGCTGAGCAGGGCAACTCTTGAGAACAGCACCTCAGCAGTCAGCTTCATGCCTTCAGCTTCACTGCCTCTGCAGTTTCTGCAGATTTTCCTCTCTTAGCAATTCTTTACAAAGTTCTGTTTCCAGGGCTGTATTTGTTGCTTTGTTGGCCTTTGCTGGCTGACTACTGATTGCCTTCCCCCAGGAACTTCTGCCAAGTCATGGCAGAAAGCATGTGCTGCCGTGTGCCTGCTGGAAACCTGTGGCTGAGCTCATGGTTGAAGACCCAAATTTGGTTGGATGGGTTTCTCTTTGCTCCAGTCTCCCTCCAATAGTGGATCTTCCCTTGCCTTCCCCAGGAGACCTCCCCACCTCCAAATCCTGAGGCTGTGAAATTCCTGAGAGCATATTCTCGCTGTGGCTCTGGGATCAAGCCCTGCAGACTGCTCTCCCCAAGGCCTGTCAGAGCCAAAAGAGCAGACACAGAGACTCCAGAGGCACAGGGTGCTGAAACCAAGGTGAGTGGCACGCTAACTGCATCCATACCAGGGATTTCTGGCACCCATGCATCCCAGGGGTTTCCTGGTTGTGTGTGTGTGCCCAGAGGGCCCTTGATCCCTCGCTCTCTCTTCTTCCAGATCCAGGTGGAGGGCAGGAGCATCGACTTCATCAAGCACAACGCCTGCAATGCCAAGCGGGCCCCGCTGCGCCGCTCCCAGTCCCTGCAGGCACTGGCCGAGCTGCTGGAACAGAAGCACCGGGAGCAGGAGGAATACAACACCAAGCAGAAGGGCCATGTCCCCCAGTAGTATGTATGACTCCCCTGTAACAGCCTTCACTGCATCCCCCAGCTTCTGCATAGAGAGGGGCTGGGGACAGAGGCACACTCACCATGCGCAGCAGTGCCATTTACTGTGGCCTGGGGAATAAACACTGTCCCTCCTGCCTTCCTGCCTCAACAAACATCACATGGCCATTGCAACTGGGCTCAAGAGTTTTGTCTCCTCCTCCCTTGCTTGCCTCTGTACAGTGTTGCTGACAGAGGGGTGCTCTGTGTGCTCCTGCCCCTTCGTGAGCTTTGCTCTGCGTGACGCACCTTCGGCATTAAAAGGTCTGGTTTTGGAGGGGCAGAGAGCTCGCTCTGCATCACAAGTGTTCACCCTGCCTTGGACCTGGAGTCTGAGGAACATCCAATTAGTGCTGTGCATTTGGGGGTTCTGTGTGGAAGGCTGTTCCTGGGTGCCCCTGTCCTGGGACTGACCACGGTGTCAGTCCTTCGGCTGTGCATCCTTGGCCATGAGCTGCTCTGTCCGACTTCATTCTGCCACTGACCCACAGACGGTTTTGTGAGGACTCGGTGAGCCAGAAATGAGCAGCATCATCCCTTGTCTCCAAGGAGCATGTGTTGGCCTGAGTGCATCTCTTCCAGCAGCCCTTTGGTGCACATGGAGTACGTTTGCTCACGTGTGGGCTAAACCCGCCTGTATCCTCCACAGCGAGGGCGTGTGCCAGCACGCGGATCCCTTTGGTCCTCAGGCAGTGACATGGAGCATAGCGGGGTTTGAAGGTCATGATTCCTGCTCTCTGCCGGTGTCCCTGGGCTGCCCCTCCTGCCAGATGTGCCAACACCTGCTCTCCTTTGCCTTGCAGCCTGCTGGAGAGGAAGGAGCTGTGGCGCAAACAGATGGAGGAGCGGCTGCGGAACCTGCCAGATCCCGACACGCCGCCTGGTCACACCATGATGCCAGAGGACCAGCGGCTGGAGACCCTCGGCAACCTGAAGCAGAGTAAGAGGGAAAAAAAATGGGGATTCCAGCTGAGAAAAACAAGCAATCCTAGCCAGAATAAGGGGAAGAGAGTTCTGGGGCACAGATTCCTGCCACTTGAAGGGTTGCCTGGAATAAGGCGTGTGTAGGCAGGATGTGAACTGTGTGTGTGGAAAGAGCAGTCAGTCTCCTGCAGCTTGGTGAGACCTGCAGGTTACAGGAGTGGCTCTCTGGAGCAGGCTTGTCCAGTGGACCTGATGTTAGGGTTACTATTACTCCTAAAATGTTGGAAAGATTTTAGTTGGAATGGACCCTCAGAAGTCTCTAGTCCAATCCTTGTTTCTTCAAAGCTGGAGCAGGTCCTTCAGGTCATCCAACTGAACTTTGAATAGAAGTATTCTAGGTCCGTGTTCCAGTGCTGCCATCATTCTCATGGCTGGGGATGGGGTCATAGTGTCAGGAAAAGGATGGATTTATTTGTTCTTCAACTTACACTAGTTGTTTTATTTCTCCTTTTACAGGCCAGGAGCAGCTGATAAAGGACTTGGTTCTGCTGCCAATGCGTGGAGACTCCCTCAAGATGCAGAACAGGCGGGTAGAGCTGGAGAGGAAGCTCTCCCAGATAGAAGAGGCAATCAAAATTTTCTCGAGGCCCAAGGTCTTCATCAAGCTGGACTCCTGAGCCAGTGGGGCCACTGTGCTGTGCTGCTCTGCATGAACATCCTTCCTTGCTGTGCAGGAAAGGACATCACTTTAGGAGGGAAGGAGAGGAAGGCATGTTCCAGACCCTGGGCCCAGGCAGGTGCTGGTACAGTGTCCTTTGCTCACCCTCCAGTGCTGTGTCTTGTCCACAGAAAAGGGAGGGAGATGACCTAATATACTCCTTGCTCAGTGGTCTGGAGAACAGTTGTCTCTGTGCTGCTTGACTTCTCACAGATCAGCTCTCTTCTCTGGATCCATGCCATCACCTTGTATTTTCCCATTTTTTCCAGCTTCTAGATACTGGTAGGAGCTCTCCCGTGCTGCTGCCTGTGGTGTTCCTTGTCACAGTTTTTCTCCTGAGCCTGGACCGTGGTCATGGCTCATCCTGAGCACCTGCGGGCTCAGCAGGTTGGGGACAGCTTGGGACAAGGAAGAGGCACAGAGCTTCAGTGCTTTCTGGCTGGGGAAGGGCTGAGCTGGCAGGGCAATCTAGTGGGATGTCTGGAGAAGCCTTTGTTGTCTTGGGGCAGGAGATATTCTAATAAATCATAATTTCCATCTCTCAGTGTTTGTGCAGCTCCCAGTAGGCCCAGCAGGGCCTGAGGAGTGGTGGTGGGCAGCAAAGACCAGCAGCACTGGCACAGTGCAGGCAGGGGATGAGCCGTGGGTTTCACAAGGCTGGGCACTGGGACACAGTGGTGGACATGGAGTGGAGCATGTGCAGGACAGGGCTGGGCAGATGCCATCACAGAGGAGAGCTTGCTGCCTCCTTACCTTCAGGTGCCACACAGGGACCTGTGCAGACCTTTGCAGGCATCCTGCTGCATGAAGCAAAGGAAAATTTAGGAAGGGATTGTTTTAGAAGGGATTATTTCAGGAGGGATTGCTGGAGGGCTTGGTGCATCTCCTGCTCAGCAGAGGGGCAGTGTGCCACGGCTTGGACCCATGTCCCACTGAATTAGGAGAATCTTCAAGGACAGGGTGACCACCACCACCTTGCTGAGGCTCTGTCCCCAGATGGTGCCACTGTGAGGTGACACACCCTTTTTCCCCTGAAGTCCCATCAAACTTTCCCTCGTTGGAGCTCATGTTGTTGCCCCGTCTCTTTCGTTGTGTGGGGTGGAAATACTGCACACGGATCCCCAGGCAGCTGCCTTGTTATAGGGGTGGCTCCATCCTGGGCAGGATTTTGTGGGGTGGGGATGTTGTGGAGCATTCCAGCCCTGCTGGTGCCCAGCAGTGCCCTGGGATGTCAGGGCTGAGCTGACGTTGCTGCCAAGGGCCAGGGAAACTTTTGGCACTCAAGGGCTGGAGGAGGTGAGATCCCAACCAGAGAATCACCCCACATGATCCTGGGGCTGCCTCGGGGCAAACACCACAGCCAGGCTGAGCCGGCTGGATGGGAGCCCCCAGGCACCTCCCTGCCCAAAACAAGCCTGGGCTAACCAGCCCTGCTGTCAGCCCTGCTCTCAGGTCTGTCTGGGCCCGGCTGTGTGTCCTCAGCCCTCACTCTCTCCCTGCCTGCTCTCAGTGCTGATCCAACCTGGCTGCTCCTGTGTGGCTGCTGGCAAGATTTTGGCTACAGCAGCACAGGGAGCTGCATGTGGTTTGGGTTTTGAGAATCAGCAAAGGCAGTGGGACACAGCCCTCCTTTCCTGCAGAGGTGACCAGCTCTGCTGCCAGCCAGGGTGTGCACCCAGCGTTGCCCCAGGGGAGCCAGGCCAGGGCACTGGCCATGGGGTTTACTCTGGGAGAGCCCTTCTGCCATGAAGGGTCTTGCTTCTCGTGTTCTGCTGGGGCAAATGGGCTGGAAAGCACTGCCCTCAGATGCCTGCTCCCTGCCAGACCTGTGCCTGGGCTGCTTCACTGGCAAACATTGCTGGGGGCCCTGTCAGGTTGGGCCACAGTTGTTGGGGCTGAACGCTGATGCTCCAGGAGCTGGGGCAGGAGGGGGTGCAGGACTATGGGGATGGTCAGCCATGATCTGCCCAGGCCTGTTCCCAGCCAGGACAGGAGGAGAAGCTGTCACTGTCACCACTGCAGGTCCAACTGGTCTCAGCAGCACAGTGTTGCTCTGTCCCTTCCTGCAGGCAGGAAGGTGCTGGTCCAGGCCAATAGCAAAGCAAAGACCAAAGCCACCATCAGCTTGGCCCTTTGGTTATGGAGAGGGACTGAGGGTGCTGGGAGCCCCAGGAGGGGCAGGTATGGCCCCCCCCACCCCAAGCTTTGGGCTGGAGGAGGAGGACTGAGCTGTGCCACCCCCAGCAGTGTTTGCAGGGCTGAGTGACAGCCAGGGCACTGCTGCCAGGCCAGGTGTCTGGGCCTCACTGGGGCCACCCAGCACAGCAGCAAAGCCACAGCGTGTGCCAAGGCCAAGGCTGCCACTCCCAGGAACTGCCATGTGCACAGGGCTGGGGTCCCCACCTGCCGTCCCCTCCTCCCTGCGGTGACACGAACCAGGGACAGGCACGGTGCTTTCTAGAAAAGGTTTTACTGTCCATTGGAATATATTAATTGATGATGCATATTTCGAGAAAACAATTAAAAATCCCCACTTGCTTGGAAGGGGGGGCAAGGGGGCTCAGAGGGGCAGTGCCCAGTATGAGCAGGCACCGCAGCAGGGCTCGCAGGGACACAGGTGGTGGGAGAGGGCAGGGGCAGCCCCGCTCCACACCAGCCGTGTCATCACCCTGGTGTCCACATCCAGCCGGGATAAGCAGAAACCCAGCCGGCTGCCGAGTGGCACGGGACCCCACGGCTATAGGGTGAGGAGGGTGCCGTCCTCCCGCCCGCTGCCCCGGCCGGGGCTGCCGTCGTGGCTGCCCAGGGACTGCAGGGAGCCCCGCGAGCTGTGCGGGGACAGGCTGGGCTGGAGGGGTCCGTCCGCGGGGCCCCCGTTGGGGCAGCCCCCGGGGATGTAGTGGGAGGCGCTGTCGCTCTCGATGACCAGGTCGCCCTCCTCGTCGCTCTCGGCCGTGCTGTAGTTGCTCAGGTACTGCGAGGCCGGGCTGGGGGTCTGCTGGCTGGGGGTGCTGTCCGTGGACATGCCGGAGCTGCCCGAGGCCTTGCTGCTGCGGATGACGTTGTTGCGCTGGTTGGCCGGCTTGACAGTGATGATGAGGTTGTGGCTGTTGGCCACCATCATGTCCGTCACTTGGTCCAGGGACTTGCCGGCGACGTCGATGCCGTTCACCTCCAGGATCTCGTCGCTCACCGCCAGCAGCCCCGTGCTCTCGGCCAGGCCGCCCTTCACCAGGCGGGAGATGAAGATGCCGGGCACCTTCTCGACGCCCTGCGGGGCCACGCGCACGCTGACGCCGTCGCGGATGTAGAAGCCCAGCGGCTTGTCGGAGCCGTGCTTGTGGAGCCGCACGCGGCGGTGGGTCTCGGGCAGGATGTCCACGTCGATGATGGAGGAGATCTGGCGGAAGTCCTGGGGCATCCCGATGAGGAGGTGAGGCTTGGCCCGGTAGTGTGCGGGGCGCAGCAGCCCCTTCTTCTTCCGCTGCAGGGAGTTGGAGGCGAAGACGCTGGCATCAGACTCTGCTGTAGGGAGCAAGGGAGGACACAGGTCAGACACTGCAGCCACCCGGGGATGAGACCGTGTGCCCTTGGCCCCAGGTGTTGGGGGAGCTGGCAGCAGAAGGGCCCCGCTCACAGGTCTCACCGGCTTTTCCTCCCCAGAGCATCACCCTGGCTTTCCCTGCAGCCTGTCTCCGCTGGGGCCCATCTCCTGGGATTACCCATCATACACAGGCCAGGATTAGTGGGATCGAGGCAGTGATTCAGCCTTAATCACACTTTAAGCCAAACTCTGCAGTTTAACACTAGAGCTGCCAGCCCTGATGGCCTGGGAGCTGCAGCCATGCCCCAGTTTGGGTTTGGGGAGAGGGGACCCCCGATATGAGGAGTGCTGCAGTGACAGCCAACTCTGAGAGCGAGTCCAACCCTGGGAGCCACCACCAGAGTCCCCAGGCCCCACTGCAGCAGGGCCATCACTGGCATGGGCTGGGGATGGCTGCCACCATGTGCTATAGAACCCTGCCATCCCCAAGGTCAGAGACTTCCCAGCTCCTGGGGATCCACCCCAGGGCTGCAGCATCCCCAGGGGCACTGAACATCCCAGACTGTGATTTATGCCAGTGTCTCATGCACCTTCACACAGGGTTTGATGCTCCTCCTGGACCCTGCCCTGGGGCTGCTCTGTGGGGCCCAGCTCCAACACATCCTCCTTGGCTCCATCCACCAAGTGCTGGGGAGCATCCCCTCATTCACCTCTGGTTTCTCCCCATCCCTGTCGATATGGGAGTTCAGACCTGGATGCTGCATGGTCAGCACATTCCCCACAGTGCCCCCCACCAGCACCCAGACCCCACTCCAGCCTCAGGAGTGCTGGGGATGTCCCCAAGCCCAGGGGACATGGGATTTCTCCCTAGTCAAGCCAGCCTGACAGGGCTCCTGGCTTATATATATCTTCCTGCACACACAGCCTGGCATATTTTTAGCTCAGGGAAGGGCGGCGGAGGCTTTCCCACAGCTATTTCAGCACACGAGCTCCTCTCCAAGGGGCACAGAGTAGCTGGGCCAGGCAGGTCCAGCACACCAAGGACGAGCCTGCTGATGGCCCTGGCAATGTCCCAGGCTCTCCCCTGCCCTTTCCATGAGCCTTGGCCCAGCCAAGGAGGACCAGTGCCACCGTCCCAGCCAGGATGGCTTCACCCAACGGGGTGATGGCTCAGAGGGGAACCCAACCTTTGCTTTTTGCCCCCTTGCTGCAGGACTGGCTGCTGCAGAGCCCACTGATGGGTGCACACCTACCTACACAGGTTTGCACAGCTCCCCGTGCCCAGCACTGTGAGAGGCTCTGCAGCCACATTCCTCAGCGACCCAGACCGGTTCAACGACAGCCCAGCCTTGGGATGACCTGGATCCATTTTAAATCAGCTGTGACTCACCCAGGGCTTGCTCCTGGCCTCTCTGCACACCTCCCCGTGGTGCTGCCAGCCCCTTGGCCCCTCTCCCGCAGGCACAACCGGCTGTTGGGGCTTGCTGGTGCTGCCTCCTCACCCTCCTTATCACACTGCCCACAGTGCCAGGGCTGC